CTGTGTTGTGACTGGTCTCAAAGCAGGACAAACCCTGCTTGCAACACACAATATGTGCTCAGGTTCCAGGTTATTATTTTTTTAAGCACTCTTTAATCCTTCAGGTCAAAACTCCTCCCAGCACCTCTAGTCAAACATGCGATTTGGTGATTGCTCTCATTAATTTTTTTTTTTCCTGTGGCTGGTGATTCCCTGTTCCCTTCCACCCAGCTCAGCAACACACTTTTTCTGCTGTTTGGATTCTTGCTTATGTTGCTTTTCAAGCTTTGCTCTCCGAAGGGACTACCTACCTCTTATTCCCAAATACACCCTCTGCATCAACTTGGGCTGCCCTCCTGAAAGGGAAGCAGCCAGTGCAAAGCACTTGGAAATCGCTGTGGAAGAGCAAAACACAGTGGAGCAGAAATCAGGTCAATAGCAGTTTTTATGAGATTTTTGGCTATGTCCTTGGCACGACACTTCTCTCAACCCTTCTACTCCTGTGAATGGTCATACCTAGGCCAGAAGGAGAGGTGTGCTTACAATCCTGGTGTGGACAAGGCACGTTGGATTAGCCAGTCAAAGCATAAGTTGAGCTTTCTGTTAAGAGAAAATTCATCAGTTAACACATTTAAAACATCTCTTTTTTCCACCCCCTACTAGTGATGATGAAGCATGTCTGGTTGTCTTCAGGGTGAATTCTTTAGGAATAAGGACCAGCTCTTATTCTGTGTGTGTATGATATCTGTCACAACAGGTCCATCTATGTGCTTCTACAAAATTAGTAGGAGCATTGCAAACCAGAAGTGGAAAATAGCATATGCTCCCCCCTTCCTTCTAATTTTGGAGCCACTGTGTCATGGAAAAATCCAAATGTTAGAACAACCAAGAAATTCAGATTTGGCCTCCTCCTTTGGGGAATTTGAAGGGATTCCTATCATAGGCTCCAGTTACGGTTTGATTCTATGCCCCTGTGATGTATGGTGGCCCCACTTACCTACCGGAGCGTAGATCAGGCCACATTGATGGAGCATAGCCACTGACTGCAGCCCAGAGTTTAGCTGCGGCTGTGCTGCCACCCTGGCATCACATGGACGTCACGTTTGCTGTGGGTGAAACTTGCCCTTGGCATGGTGATTTTTCCATGGTAGCAGGGTTAACATCGTGGGACTGTGTTTAGAAACCTCTCCTGAGCTGCTTTCCACCTTGCTGCTTCCACCAGCTCCTTTGCACAGCCTAAAGGCTTCCTGTTGGCACCAGCCGACAACCAGGGTGTAGCTGTGACCATCTCTTGGGCTCCCAGCTGCCTGGGCCTTGCCTTAACAGCTTGCTGGCGCCTACTTTCTTTCTGCCTTATCTCTTGCACAGGCTGTGGCTGTCTTCAGTCCTAGGCTCCCTCTGCCCTCAGCACTTACTTTCTCTTCGAGTCCATCAATGGTCTACCCTTCAAAAAAGTGGGGGGGAAGCCTAGCTGGTGGTTGCACTAGTAGTCAATACTAGCCAGTAGGAAGAAAGTGAGTTAAGTACAGGACGTTAGTTGTGCTATGGTGTCGAGTACAATGTACGTCTGATAATGCACTGCTAGAAATATCTTTCCTGCTGCTTCTTAGCTGTGAGAAATTAATGTATGTTTTAACTTGTGCTTCAGGGATTCCCATGGCTTCAGAGAGGCAGGATTTCTGGCTGAGCACGCTATCCATTTTTCATGGTGAAGCTGCAGTAAAATGATGCCAGTGGGACAGCTATATGAGTTTGAACATAACTGGAGCATCCTGATGGGTTGTGAGTAATGTTATATCCATGGTAGGAACCTTCAGTGGATATACAGAGCCAATCATTTTTAGCTGTTTGTATGCGTTCTATTTTTTATAGTAACACAACATGCAACTAACTAGATGCTCTGTCCCGTGACCAGTTCCTTAATTTGGTGCACATTGCTGGAATTGATGTTACATGAAAATGTTGGCTTGAAAATAAGTTTATAAAGAGTATTTGGAATGTTAATTATGAAATCTGACTTATCCACTGACGGTAGTCACTTATAGCAATACCAGTGCTCAGACATGAGGAGCTTAGCTCACTGAAGGTGAGATTTGCTTTTTGATGTTTCTACTTTTAGGGGCACTTGCTTCACGTTTTCAGACCTTTCCTCACACCAAGGCCATTTTAAAATGATAGTCGAGGTTCTCTTGCAGTATCTTGGTTCAGGAAGCTAAAATGTTCAGAAAACACTCAGAATTGGCAACAGTCATGACTTGGGTGGACTGAATTCAGGGCTGTGCAAGATGCAACACAAGAGAAGACCTGTGGCCAAATCCCTTCAAGACTGTCATGGCAAAATGAGCCATTGTACAGT